ATTTTAGACATGTGTCGTGTGGGGAATTTATAGGGTTTAGTGATTGATCCCCTGTTCAGAGGAGGAGGATGACTTGTAGCTTTGGGCAATGATGTGAAAACTAATGGTAAATAGCAACATACACAAGAATAGAGAAGATTTTTAGTATCCCAGGGAAATCCCTAATAGTTACAGAGCAAAAGGGAGCTCCAACTTCAGATTTTGCTTATAATTTTAGCTATACTTAAATGACCAAAGACAGGTATCCTTTCATTTAAATAATTACCAGATCTCTTTTGGGAGTTTATTCTAATATTTCTATAACCTACACCACCAAGACAGACCTACTGTTCTATTGAAGCTAAATGAATCTTGAGGTAACCAAAGATGTCTATGATAAAATATTGTATTTAGTGTTCCACATAGCAAGCTGTTAACCCAGAAATGTGTCTGAAATGATATCTAAATTTATATGGTACTTAGTAGCCTATCTGCCTCCATTATTTCACGTGAACCTTGCCAGAGAACATCGTTCCTCCCCTCCCTTCTAAGTGTGAAGGCTGGGACAGCTTGTGGGAGAGCCACTGGTGATACGCAGAGATACTTAAAAGTTACAGACCAAGTTATTTTCCTACTTTGACAAAAATATCTTCATAACCACAAGAATGGAAAGCACGTATAAAGTTGTATTTTTTATATGACTGAAAATTGGCAAAATATCAAATATGACTAAATTTAATTATCCTTGTTCATGCCTGGGCATCCAACTGAGCTGGCAATGTTTAAATGGGTAATAAAATTATGACCTGAGTCATAAATCATTACATATTTATTTCAAAAAATTGATTTTTTCTTATTTCCTTTTTAGTAAAATTATAAATTGTGTTGTTATTAGCAAGATTTTCATGTAGTTGGTGTTCTCTTAACAATGATATCAAATGAGACCATCTTTCTTGAGTCAGTATAGCTGTTTGGTAGTTTTTTTTATTATTATTAATTTCAATTTGAAAAAGCTTCACTCTGCAAACACAGAGTTGAAAATAAACCATGAAATTTACTTATCCTGTTCAAACACCATAATGAGATCTCATTTAGTGGATTATTATCGCAGAACCCATTTTAATTTCATAAATAAACAACTATCACTTAAATTGCCATTTTAACTATTTCTTAATGTAATGAGAACCAACTAGTATGAAATAGCATGCGGAACCAATATCAAACTTCTAGAACCACACATCTGCAAGTTTAAAAGTGGTATGACTTGGTTAATGTTGCAAAATATTCCTGTTTCCATGTGCAACTGTAATGAAAACAGTGTGCTTTCCTGTAACGTGTGAGTACCTCTGGAACTCCAAACAGAGAAGCAAGAAAATTGACATTCAACCCTTCAAGGGAGCCACATTTTGTTATTCAAGAATTGCCTTCATGCCATCTGAGAGGAATGATCTGGCAAACTAATTGATTCATTTGTGTTCTTACTAAGCCAAATGCTTCTGTTCTTCATAGTCTCACCACACCTTGAAGCAGTGCACATCTCTGATAGTGGTAATGGCCACGATCACAGGATTTAGCACACTTGTGTTTTGTTTTGAGGACATATGGTGAGTGGAGACGTGTCTCTCTGAGTTCTTCCCTATAGCAGTGTTCAGCCATTATTTGTGACCAGTTTCCAAGGGAGAGGCACCCACGTCTTCTTTCCTTTTCTTATAACGGCTTAATGGAGGTATAAGTCATGTAACATAAAATGCACCCCTGAGAGGGCTTTTTAGTATACTTACCCTGAAAAGAAACCCTGTACCTATGAGCAATCACTTCCTATACCTCCCTCCCTACCAGCCACTGGCAAATACTAATCTACTTTATATCTCTATGGAATTGCATATTCTGGATATTTCATATATATTGATTTGTTATTTATTTATTTATTTATTTTAAAAGATTTTATTTATTTATTTGACAGAGATCACAAGTAGGCAGAGAGGCAGGTGGGAGTGGGGGGAGCAGGCTCCCCACTGAGCAGAGAGCCTGATGCTGGGCTTGATCCCAGGACCCTGAGATCATGACCTGAGCTGAAGGCAGAGGCTTAACCCACTGGGCCACCAAGGCACCCTATTTATTTATTTTTAAAGATTTTATTTATTTATTTGACACACAGAGAGAGAGAATGTATACAAGGCTAGGGGGGTGCACATAGGAGAGGGAGAAGCAGGCTCCCTGCTCCATCCCAGGACTTGATTCCAGGACTCTGGGATTATGACCTGAGCTGAAGGCAGATGTTTAACCAACTGAGCCACCCATTTCATTTCAATAGAGTCATATAATATGTAGCTTTTTGTGTACTTTTTGTAGTGCACAAAGCACAAAGCTACATATAATATGTAGCTTTTTGTTTCCTTCACTTAGCATAATATTGTCAAGGTTCATTCATATTGGGGCATATGTCAGTATTCATTCCTTTTGATGGCTGAATTATATTCCATGGTAAGGATACCACATTTTGTTTACTTATTCCTCAGTCAATGGACATTTGGGGCATGCCAACTTTTTGGCTATTATGAATGATGCCACTATGAACATTGGTGCACAAGCTTTTCTGTGGACATGTTTTCATTACTCTTGGATCTATACCTAGGAATGGAGTTACTGGAACACGTGGTTACTTTATATCTAATGTTTTAAGGAATTAACCCAAAGGCTTTACAAAATAGTTGTGCAATTTTATGATTCCACCAGCAACATACGAAAGTTCTGATTTCTTCACATCTTTGTTAACACTTGTAATTCTTTTTTATTGTAGCTATCCTTGTACTGAGTTGTTGTACTAAACCCTTCACATGTATTAACTCATTTGATCTTCCCAATATTGCTATCCAGAAAAGGGAAGTAGGCTTAGAGAGGTTCAGTAACTTGCTCAACACTAATAAACTGAACAGTGCCAAAGCTGTAATTAGAAATACACTACACAGATAAAAGACTCTTTGAAACCCTCAAGAGAATGAAAAGAATTTGGGCAAATTCCACCTCCCTCCCCACTTTTTAACAAGACTGGGGTTAAAATCTTCTTTTTTATCCAAGTTAGTCTTCTGTGGATGTCCTGAATCCCCTCCTGGCTTATGCTTCAGAGCTAACTGGTACTGGTATTAATATTGAGAACAAAAGGGAGAAAGGAATCTTTTCAATTAAATCAAAATTTTCCATTTAACCACTGATAATTTGTAAATAATTAGGAATGTAAAAAATCATTTTAAAAAAATTGGAAAGCTTTATTTTTCCAGTATGATCTTTATTATTCTTGGGGCAAAATTGTTTCCGAGATATACATTTCTAAATTTTTTTTTAAAGATTTTATTTATTTGTTTGACAGATCACAGGTAGGCAGAGAGGCAGGCAGAGAGAGGAAGGGAAGCAGGCTCCCTGTGGAGCAGAGAGCCTGATGAGGGGCTTGACCTCAGGACCCTGGGATCATGACCTGAGCTGAAGACAGAGGCTTTAAACCACTGAGCCACCCAGGCGCCCCACATTTCTACATTCTTAATGAAGTCAGTGGAAATTGACTTCAAAGACAATTTTTTTCAAAGATAATTTTTTATATATTCCAAGAAGGTATATGCCACATTTTACACTCTTAATTTGCAGTAATTTATAACTATAAAATGTATATATTTTTATTAAGATAATAGTTAAACAGAAATATATCTTTTAATGTTTGTTCTCAAAAGTAGAAGTGTCACCATTAAAAAAAAACATGCCAATAAAGTGAATGCAGTTAGCTCAGTGTTTAGAAAAGACTTGGAATAGACTATTTTGACTCTTACAAGAGGAATCTGATTTCCAGGACTATTTAAGAATAAACTATTTAAGAATAATTTATGTGCTATTTAAGAATAAACTTGGGCATGAGTACAGAAAATTCCAAGGGTCTATGTTCAGTGAGTTCTGTCTCTGGCAGAGGCACGAAGAGGAAGATGCTGCTCATGTCTTTGAACTGAAGATTGTCCTCTGTGGGTATCTCTGACTCACAGATGGTGACATTCAATAGAGAAAGGGCTGAAGGAAGTAGGAAAGGGTATCTGTAGAGTTAAACAGTGAGCCAAACATTTTCCTTCTGGCTACTTCCTTACTGCTTCGGAAGTATCTTAGTGCTTGTGAGGAGAAGTAGGGCTGTCTTGAAATGAGTGGTACAAACTGCTTTACCAAAAGCAGGACCCCTTCAGAGAAAGCAAAGTTCTAGAGGAAGGTTGGCAGGGAGAAATGATTTGATTGGAGGAAAAATTTGTTGTTTTAGACAACAGAACATTTCATGAGTACCCTATATTATCCCGTTTGCATGGCATCATTTCAGAAAATATAATAATATAATTCAAACATGCAAACCCTAATATACTTATTATTGGATAGCTTATAGAGATATAGTTCATATGCCATACATTTCACTCATTTAAAGTATACAACTATCTCACTTATGATATCATACAGAAGTATGTATAATATGGATCCCTTTAACATAAAATGTAGGACCTCCTGGTGGCTGGGTTTAAATGTGGTAGAGAAGAAATTGAAGAATTTATTAAATAATACTATAGTAGCCAAATAATTATTTTAGCTTTCAAAATATCTGATAAATCTCCATATTAACTTTGTTTTTCAACATCCTTGCTTTAAGGAAGGAAGTTAAAGATGTTTGCCTCTTCAGAAGTTTGAATGGAGCTATAAAACTCCCATCCCTTTTTGTGGTATTGATAGGGTTATTTTCATATTACTAACACACGAAGAATTGAAGCTGTTTAAAGTTTTGAAGCACAACTTTACAAGATTTGGAACATAGCCCACATATGGCAAAACGTTTTTAATTTGTTTCCTCTTAGGACTTTTTTGGTTAGGTTCATGGAAGTCAGCATCCTGGTTCTATTATTTCACTATTGGTGGTAATTACAGAATTTTAGCAGGTGATAATCAGGCCATTTTCCTTGATTTGTGTTTCTATACAAATGAGAAATAAGATGCAGGAGTCACAGAAATGAAGATGAAAATATCAACTTTATTACTGATTAAATTAATTGGAAAGCAAGGCTTCGGTATGTAGCCACAGGATTTCCTTGAATCATTATGAGGTTTGGTGCTAGTGCTAGAAAACTGACAATAATAGTGGCATAAACAAGGGACTTTCACCTAAAAGTCCAGAGGTATCAGATCAGGAATGACAGAGTTCCAGAGTGTTTGGCACTCAGTCTCCTGTTAAGTTTGTTCATTTTATGAATGGCCTCCTTTTCTAGGGTAATTTTGGGGTTTGGGATGGATGCCCCAGCTCCAGCTATATGCAGATGCTCTAGCCAACAGGAAGAGTGGGATAAGGAAACATGTTTCCATTTAAAGACACACCATTTTTTGCTTCTGTCTCATTAGCTAGTACATAGTCACTTAGCCACATCTAACTAGGAAAAGTACCCAGCTAAAAACTGAGAATTCCACTGTAGAAAGGGAGAATGGATATTGCTAGACGATTCATAGCCTGTGCTGTATTCCTGAGTTAAACTTCTGCAACCAGAGGTGGAGCCCGACAACCACCACCCTTCCCTATAATGAAACACAAGCGCTTAACACAGAGCAGAGCCTTACCCAGAGGCTAAAGTGCTTGTAAGAGAGGATCTGGGAAGGGGCTGAGCCAAACCCCTTCAGTTCCTTCTCACTGTCACCCACTGGGAGAGGCCTAATGCACTCCTCCCATGCTTTTGCTCCTAACTGATGTTTGGTTTTTCTAAGGGGCAGAAGAGTGAACTGTCATAAGGCAGGAAAGCAGCACATGATCTGGCATCACAATAACAAGGTTTTCTTATTTTCCCGGGATCTAGCCTTTCTTTGTCTTCACTGTCCATTAGATTAAGAAATCTGCCTGAATAGTCATAAGAGAGTTCTTCTTCGGGCAAAATGTCTTTGGCTGCAAAAAGTGCCAACTTTGGTACCATTGAGTCAATTCGGACAGGAATCATCAGCAGGTTTGGCTCGCAAGAATGGTTGAGAAATCTTCCAATATTTCCTATGTGGGCAGGGTCGACAAATGTTTCTATGACCTGCCCACTGTGAACATGTTCTCTGATAGCTATAATGTAATTTGGATCGTGTATTGTCTGTAACTGAATTCTTCTCTGTACTTCAGAATATCCCAAAACTTCACCAGCATATTCACAGACAAACCGTCCTTTTGGTATCAATTCCAAGGTACGGAGTCCCCAGCCTTTTTTGTCCGTTTTGAACACCTGGAGTTGGAACTGCAGACCCCGCTGGACCACTCTGTTCCTGCAGTGGTCACCGCACTGGCACAGGATGTTGCATTCAAAAACTGGCTTGGCGCACTTTCCTTCGGATCCTACATCTATAAGGCGTGACTCATCGTCATAGTTCTCCCCATGACGGAGACAGGAGCAAGTACCAGGGAGGCAGGGAGTTTTGAGGCAAATGCATCCAGGAAAGGTTATTTGTGTGGGATCAACGTCTGTTCCAGGTCCAGCTACATGGTCAGGAGTATACTGTAAAAAACAGAAATACTCTAAGTCAGCATGGTCTGTTATGTATTTCACATATATTCCAGGCAGCTTTTGGATGGGACACTTCCTAATTGCAACATATATAAAAATAGATTAAAACAAAACTGACAAAACACTATATACTATTGTTTGAAAACACACCTCTTCAATTTAAAAAATAAGGTTAATTTTTGGATGAAAATTCTGTGGTTTCACAGAATTTTGTGGGTCACAAAAGGAAAAAAATAGGTTTTTCTCTTACCAGAAACTGAAAGATTTATAATTAATTTCATTTTTCTCTTAGCTTTGGATATCAGAAAAATCAGTGCTGAACTTAGTTTTTGAACGCAGTCAAGTATTTTATCTTTGGCTCTTGATCTTTTCACATTGATCTGACAATATAAATGCCTGTGTGAATTTTATTATGAGTCACTGCAGAAAAAGTAATAAATGATAAGTAAATTAATAAAAAATGGCCTTTGTAAGACAGTCTTCCACTGATTTAAGGAATTCTTAATTTGAAGATTACCTAAATTCTTAAATATATTTTGATGTTTAAAAAAGACATTATTGGGGCGCCTGGGTGGCTCAGTGGGTGATGCCTGGGTCCTGGGATCAAGCCCCACATCGGGCTTTCTGCTCCATGGGGAGTCTGCTTCCTCCTCTCTCTCTGCCTGCCTCTGCCTACTTGTGATCTCTGTCAAATAAATAAATAAAATCTTAAAAAAAAAAAAAAGAATCAAAGCAACCTTATAAAAAAAAAAAGACACTATTACTTTAGAGTTTTATTTGAGTTTTCATAATGTTAAGAATAGGCATTAGCCAAGAAACTGTGGACAGAATTCCAAAAATCATATTTGTTATACAGATACTAATAAATGTAGATGTATTACATATATGTAAAGAAATCCCATTTTTTTAAATGATAAAGAGATAATATGGAAAAGTTTTTCACATTAGAGAAAATGAAGAAAGTCCCAAGTCTAAAATCTCTTTGTGAAACCTGATGTGTGGTTATTTCCTCACTTAGCATAATGAAACATATTTCTAAACCTTGAAAATTAAAGTCTCTCTCATGAGCCCAGCATATTTCTTTATGCACAGAATAATTCTTGCTTACATAGAACCTAACTCATTTATTTATACCTGCTATTAGTGTTCTTGGACCCAATTTCAGTGTCGTGGTGGTCGTGGTGGGGTTTCCCCACACCTCTAACGAGCAATGCTCCCAGCAACAGGTGGGTATTCTACAACTCGGCTCAGTTCTGACTTTATCCAATACCATCACACCCCACAGTTTAATGGGTCAGTACTAAGACTGTTCTCCCCGCCCTCCTTTGGACACCAGTCATTTGTGCTACTGACTGATGGGCTATATACCTACTGGAGGTTCCCATGATCTCTTCCTTGGATTTCAGACACCAGTCACAAATCCAGGTAGTTACTTGAACTTGTGGCCGACAAGGTGTAAATCAGAGGTTCTCAAAATCCCCTCCTTGGGCTTGATTAATTTGAGAGAATTGCTCACCAGCTTATTATAAAAGGATACAACTCAGGAACGGCCAGATGGAAGAGATGCATAGAGTAAGGTTTGGAGAAAGGTAGAAGAGCTTCCATGCTCTTTCCAGGCATGCCACACTCCCAGGACCTCCACGTTCACCAACCCAGAAGCTCTCTGAACCCCGTTTTCTCAGGTTTTTGTGGAGGCGTCATCACTTAGCCAGGACTGATTAAATCTCTGGCTATTATTTGCAAATGTTCCAACCTCTAGGCGCCTCTCCCAATTGAAGGTTGGGGGTGAGGGTACTGAAAGTTCCAACACTCTAATCAAATGGTTGGCTCCAGGGGCAACCAGCTCTCATCTTTAGGCATTCCCCATCCCCGCAAAACTCGCCTCATTAACATAACAAAAGATACCTTTTTGTGGCTCTCATCACTTAGTAAATAACAGGGGTTTTAGGAGCTCTGTGCCAGAATTGGGGACAGGGACCAAATATAGATTTCTTTAAATAAGTCACAGTATCACACCTGCTTTGTTCCCAAGAGGATTTAATGAGACATACAAAGAGTTCGGATAAATGAACAATACATAAGAAATGTAAGCTGAAGAGAAAAACAGGAGCCAGTTGAGTGAGCTCAGACACACAGTGTGTAGAAGTAAACTGGACGCTTGGTTCTGCCTGAGCACAGCCACTGCCAAAAGGGAAATACGATCAGATGCAGGGCTTGCACTATCCATAAGGGGTAATCTCCCTGCTCAGGAGCAGCATTGACTTTTTCCGATATGGAGGCTGGAGAGGAATTTCACCAATGTGTCTGTCCAAACCATTCTTTTCCAGAAAACAGTTTCATGGGCTGTTTTTCATTCTAACTCTCAATAAAGGTTATTGGCCTGCTGGCACAGCACAGTCCGTAAGAGCCGTACTACACAGGACCAGGTGCACAAGCTTTTAATTCAGGGGCAGAGTTTAGAGTATCTAGAGGAAAGCCTGAACCGGTATCCGTCAGTCGATTATCCATTCATACTGCATCTCTGGGCCAGGAACTGGAGAAAGCATTAAACAACGTGTGGTTACACTCCCTGTGGTTACACTCCCTGTGGAGGCTTCGGTGGGGCTGTGCAGTTAGGCTCAAAACCCTCTATTTTAAACAATGCTGAGCTGGGGGAAGGACTGACATCCTCTTGTGAAAGATGAGGAGGAGGATGAGTGGGAGTACCAGCGGGGAAAGGCCAACACTCTGCTTAAAAGTGATTTGGGGGTGGAGAGCGGAAATAGCTTCTCTTGTTTCTGTCGTTTCTTACAGCTTTAGCTTAGTGGAGATGTCCTAAAGGGATAAAGAACGGCTTAGAAAAGGATGCCCTATCAGTCAAATTCAATGACTGCTGTCTGAGACAGAATCTACTTCCAGCTTTTAAGAGTCAAGGTTGAAATGAAATGGTCACTGAGACATTTTAAAAAGCACTTGTAAAATGAAGATTTTACTATCTCTTTGTTAAACTTTTTATGAAGAATTCTTTTAAATTGATTTCTTCTTAAAAGCATACGTATTTTTGATATACTATATAAATCACTAAACTGCAAAGTGATTTTTTTTTTTTTTTGGACACAGATAACTCCTTTTGAAATCAAGTCTGACTTACTGTACTTTGCTAACCAGAAGAGCATATTATTCTGTTGAACTTATTTGGCTATGGATAGGTTTGGAAAAATACTGTTATTTGCTTATTTTTATGTAAACATTAAAAAAAGACATTGGAAAATCTAGTGATACCGTTTTTAATGATTCTGGAATTTAAACTTGATGCACAATCTAAGATCTTTTAGAGACATAGATTATAAAGGGTATCTAATTCCAAATGAGCAGCAGACACTTTCCAAAGGATAATAGAGACCTCTGGATAAACTTCCTGTTTAAAGAGAATATTTGTTTTCCCTTGATGGATGTAATCCTTAGCCCTGATACCGATACTTATCACAAATCATTATTATCTCCATATATTTCCATTTTCTCCTCCATAAATAGTCAGTAAAATGCCACTCCAGAAAGATATTTTACCTCACTTAGAAAAATACCTGAAAAGATGAATAATTACATAATCATATGTTAATTTAGACCACAGTTTTCAAAAGATTATTCTCTAGTATAGCCATTTTTGGCTATACTTTGCCTATAGTTACCACTCTTGGATTTTGCTGTTATAAGGCAATTCCTTCTGTTTTTTTGCTTGAGTTAGTTTGTATTGTATTTCTATTTCTTGCAAACAACCGATTGTTGATTGATATGCCCACAGTGGAAGGCTGAAAGTTGTTCCAGGAAATGGCTAGAAAATTGAGTCAAAGATATAAATGGCTAATGAAGATTCAGGTCTCCAATTGAGGCTAACACAAAGTGTGCAGGAGGCCAGACAGACCTGTGACAGGCATGAACACTGGACAACCAATGGAGAACTTTTTTCAAAAAAAATTTTTATTTACTTTATTTTAAAAAAGACTTTATTTATTTATTTGACAGAGAGAAAGAGGTAGTGAGAGAGAAGAGCACAAGCAGGGGAGCTGCAAGCAGAGGGAGAGGGAGGAGAAGCTGAGCAAGGAGTCTGGTGCGGGGCTCCGTCCCAGGACACCGGGACCAAGACCTGAGTAGAAGGCAGCCGCTTAACCGACTGAGCCGCCCAGGCACCGCTATGGGGAACTTCTTAATGTAGAACACAGAATGTTCTAAAGGAGACACATACAGAACTAGGCTCGTGTTAGCATTGTGACTTAGGGCAAGTTACCTTCTAAGTTTTGGGTTTATACCTATAAAACAGGAATAATACCTGTATCTGCCCCCCAATCCCAGGTATTATTAAATTTAAATAACTAACACTGTACTGTGTGCCAGGCAGTTTATACTTTCGAAACAGTAGCTTCCTTAAATGCGTCTAGATATTATTTCTAGATTTTATATTTAAAACATCATATATTTCTGGCACATTACTTCATCTCCTTAAATATCTCCTTTCTATCTATGTCACAGGTGGCTATGAAGGAAAAAAATGAGAGAATACATGTAAAAAGCTTACTCTAGTGGCTAGCACATAGGCGTTCAATATAAATTATGGAGGCTATCTGGCAGGGTGATGAAAACAACAGATTCTGAAGTTAAAACTTTCCAAGTGCAAACACAGTTAAACCAAAAAAAATTTTTTTTTTAAAGATTTTATTTATTTATTTGACAGACAGAGATCACAAGTAGACAGAGAGGCAGGCAGCGGGGGGTGGGGGGAAGCAGGCTCCCTGCTGAGCAGAGAGCCCGATGCGGGGCTCCCGATGCGGGGCTCCAGATGCGGGGCTCCATCCCGGGGCTCGATCCCAGGACGCTGGGATCATGACCTAGGCCGAAAGCAGAGGCTTTAACCCACTGAGCCACCCAGGCGCCCCAAACCAAAATTTTGTCTAGGAGACAATATGAATATATTTCTATTTTCCATTACTTATCCATCTCAGGCAGGGGGGCGGGGGGACGACTAAGGATTGATCCAGCACAGACTTCTTTCATTCATCCACATATACTGCCTGATTGCTTCTTAGATGCATGTGCTGGGATTTAGAAAGAACCGGTCAGTGGGATTTTTATCATTTTTTTTGTATCATAATAACGTAAATGACTTTTTCCTGGTATATATCAAAATGCAAACACGGATCACACAAGAGCTAGGAATAAATGCAAAATGACCAGTGCAAAACGATGTAACAGAAACCAGACCCTTGAAGAACTGGGCAGAGATTTCAAGTGTTTTGACAGAAAACTTAAAAACTTTTTTTTTTAAAAATAAACCATGGTCACTCAAGAAGCTGAAATGGAAACCACGTGACAGCATGTTGAAAAGCAAATATACCTCCTTGGCTCTATTCATACAGAATTTCTCTCTTTTCGGAATTAGATTTGCACTTATTAATAGCATGAACTTTGGGATCTAAATGGCAAGTCTTGTCTTTCTAGCAAATACATGTGTCAAGGAAATGGTCATGTGGTTTGGGGTATGACATGGTAATGGGGGCTGAGTTACTTTTCACAGTACTGGGGACAGAGCAGCTGGCTTAGGAAATATTTTTTGACTGTTTCATTGCAGCTCTTGCTAACTTCTTACCAAAAGTCTGACTTTTCTAAGTCAAATTCTGTATCAAAGCCCCAGGAACTTAAGTATGACACCGCGTAGTATTTTGGGCTTAAAACCTAGGCCTTGATTCTGAATTTAAAGGAAGTGCTGTGAAAATCTTCATTCCTTTTTTGGTTGTTTTGAAACACCAGCTACATGAATCTTTGTACTTGGCCTCTACCCCATGAGTTTGTTTTTGCTCCAAGCAGCTATTAGCCTGTGAGCCAGATAATTCTTGTCAAGGCCAAGTTGAAATCTTAAAAAATATGTTAAGGCTGGTTTCAGAAACCTGAAAAAAGGCTAGATTCAACTCTCCATTCAAGAAAATCAATTAGTTTATTTTCTACTTGGCTTTCAACACAGATGGCTTTATGATAGGCTTGTTTCCAGTGTGAACATGTGAATGTTCTTTTTGCCTTTTCACACAGTACTCAAAAGCAAAGTAGACACAAAGTTATTTTTACCTTGAGTTTTTCATGCCTTAATTCTTATGTGTGTATATGCCTGTGAAGGCAGGGCTTGGGGTAAGAAAGCTGTTTTGACCTTTCAGAAGGCAGGTTTTGTGTGCTGCATGAATATAGGAAAGCAAACTAGTTAAAGACACTTTAAGGCTTATCATAAATATGTTTTAAGCATGTTTTATCTTCTTGGTTAGACTATTAGCTCCTTGAGGAAGGATCTTACCTTCTTTCTGTAACTCTAACTCTACCCAGAGCTATGCATATAGCCAGGCAGTTAGAATACTGAGGGACTGAGTATTAGTCTCGAGATTTTCACTTATGCCTATCAACTGTACATGTAAGTATCAATCATAAGGCTTCCTCTCTCCCCTCTCCAGGCCCCCACAGCAACTAAGTGCTTTCTATATGGTCTTGTAAGCTCAAAGGCAAAGTTGTCACCATTTTACCTTCTTTGTCTAGCTTAACGCCTAGCACATTATACACACTCAATTACTTGCTGAATAAAGAAAACATTTATCAGTGTTTTTGACCAGACATTCAGCAATGTTTGGTGTTGAATAAGCTTTTAGGGACTAGTGTTTAATATGGTGCTAGCTAACTGTGTTATTATTATTATTTTTAGATTTTATTTATTAATTTGAGAGAGAGCAGAGGGAGAGAGCATGAGCAGGGGGGAAGGAGCAGAGGTAGACGGAGAAGCAGACTTCTCACCTCCCACTGAGCACGGAGCCCTACAGAGGGTTTGATCTCATGACCCTGGGATCATGACCTGAGCCAAAGGCAGACACTTAATGGACTGAGCCGCGCAGGCACCCCTTAACTGTATTATTAAACATAAAACTGCCCTAAGGTAGTTTGAGGAAAAATAACCTTTCCCGACATTAATATCCTGCTTTACTCTTTGAAACTGCTATTGAATCTACTATGTTTTTTTTTGATTTTCACAACAACCCCAAGGAAGGAGGGACACAGATAGCTGGGTATTCATGGTGTATGTGACCAAGGTTATAAATTTTTAAATACTTTCATTTTGCAGATGAAGAAGCTCAGACTCCAAGAAATAGTCAAAATGGCTCAGCCCTGCACCTCACTCTCCTACCTCCAAGTGCTCCTTTCACTCCAACATCATTGTTTTTTTTGTCATATTCCATAGGCAAGGAGCAGGCCAAGGTCAGAGGGTGGGAAGGGTAGAGTGGAGAGGGTTTTGATGTGGTAAAAGCAGTGAGCACTTACTGGGTTCTTTCAGCAAACCAAGAAGTGTGTTTGTGTGTGTGTGTGTGTGTGCGTGTGTGTTTAAAGATTTTATTTATTTGACAGAGAGAGATCACAAGTAGGCAGAGAGGCAGGCAGAGAGGGGGAAGCAGGCTCCCCGCCAAGCTAAGCAACGTGGGGCTCGGCTCGATCCCAGGACCCTGAGATCTTGACTTGAGCCAAAGGCAGAGGCCCAACCCACCGAGCCACCCAGGCGCCCCAAGAAGTGTGTTTTACTTGCAATTCTCATAGCAATCTGGGAGACAGGCACTATTATTTTAACCGCGCACGGAAGGCTTAGCTGAGGCTAGTCTGTTATTTGCCCAAAACCTCACAGCAGCAAAGTCTCATTCTAGGGGCTAAGTTTTTAACCCTAACAATAGGCTGAGATCCATTAATAGGGCCCATGCCTTATCTTACACATGAGGCACCGGCAAACCAGAAAGGTAAAATGATTTGCCCCCGATCCGTCAGTGAGTTCTGAGAACAGAGCCAGGAAAAAAAAAAAGTCAGGTTCTCAGGGCTCCTTCCAAGGGACCTCACAAAACACCTGGTTTTGTTCTTCAGGGACCTGCCCGTCTGTGGGGAGAAAAGAGCAATCCCGTTGCTCTTGTTAAGGTCATTAGGGAGGGTTAATAGAACAAGACTAAAACCTGTGCATTTAAGAGCTATTCCTGCGCGAAACAGCTCTCCGACAGGGTAAGACAAATTTAAGTCGAGAATACGGACACAACTTGGGATACGAGAGTCATCCACAGAATTGGACAAGCTCGGGGAACCGCGTACCGGATCCTCGCGGCCATCCATCTTCGCCCCCTACCTGGCCGGGCGCCAGCTCCACCCCAGTGGCTGCGCGCGCAGTGCACGGGCAGAGCAGGGCTCCCCCCAGACGGAAGGGCACCGGTCCCCCCGCGCGCCGCACTCTCGGCGGTCGAGCCCCGTCTCCTACCTGGAAGGGCTCTGGCTCTGCCCCCGGGGGCCACGCGCTCACAGGCACGTTCTCCAAACCGCGCGCGACATCTAGCCGCTCAATAGGGGCCTCAATCGCTGCCATCTCGCACGGCTACCTTTCTACAGCTTTCCTGGACATTTCGCGCCATCTCGAGGCGCGTGCCACCTAGACGATTTGGGGCCTCGCAAAGGATGCTGGGAATCGCCGGTCGCGCGGCCCCGCCGCCTCCTGGGAGTCGTAGTTTTTCTTTCTCCTTTCACACGTGGCCTGTGAGGCGTCTCCATCCTCGACCCTCAGCTTTCCTTGACTTTTTGGTCTGGCTCGCTCCTTTTAAAGCCAGATGCACAACAAATAATACAAAGCTTTGGAAGGTACGGGCATAGTTTTGGAAATACAAAATGAAGTGCTTTAATTTTTCCTGTGAGCCTCAGGAAGGGTTTGCGAGGTGAGGTCATTTGGCCAGGTTTCTGAGGGCCCGGGAAGATTGCTGAAGTGAGGGCAAGGGCGCGCCCTAAGCTGAGGGGGCAAATTCACACCAGGGTTTCCAAAGTCCCGGGACCTGCGTAGAAGTTGGGTGGCATGTGACAGGGTTTGCTCTCAGGCGGCAGAAGAGCAGTGTAGAGCGCTGTAAGGCATGTGTGGGGACGCCCACTCCGGGATTATCTGTTTTCTATCAGCTTCCCCTTTCTTAGAAAAGAAGAAAACGCGGCCCCGCCAAAGGATTCTGATAACCTCAAAATTGCCGAATCCAGTGGAATACTCTCAAAGGTCTCTGTCCCGATTCTCCTGCCGCATCCACTCGAAACCCTGTGTCCTTGCAGCTTCTGCGGCACCGGGCGGGATGCGCTGCCTTCGGGCCGACCGTCCTCCTCCCTCCTGGCTGAAATGTTGGTGGGTGTCACAGAGGTTTCTGCCCCAGGCCATTTTGTCGCAGTGTCTGGGCTTCCTCAGTAATAGCATCTCGCGAACGGGCTTCAGATACTGTTATAAAGTATCAGGTCTTCTGTTTCCGGCTCAGACTTCACAGGTACCCGCTTCGCAGGGGTTGTGGATAGCCAACTGATGACTGGACATTTCTCCTTTCTGTCCTACGGACGCCACGAGCTCACAATGACCTGAGTGGACTAATTCTAATGCAAATCTTCCTTTTCTCCTTTAAAATAAACTGGAAGATGGAGGCGCCTGAGTGGCTCAGTTGGTTAAGCGTCTGGCTTGGGCTCAGGTCCTGATGTCATGGTCCTGGGATAGAGCCCCACATCAGGCTCCCTGCTCCGCAGAGTCCGCTTCTCCCTCTCTGACCCTCCTCCCCGATTGTTCCTTTATTTCTCTCTCTCTCCCTCTCTGTCTCTGTCTCAAAAACAACTTCCCCTCCCCAACAAACCTGGGAGAAAAATTTGTCCATGATCGCCGGAGTTACTAAAGCAACAAACCAAAGCATTTCCCTGTATTTCTTCCTCTCCTTAGACCTCTGTAACTACGAGCTTCCTGGCAAAACCTTGTTGATTCTACTTTTGTGATGTTTTCATTTTCATTTCTTTGTACTTAGCTCTGATTTCTTCCTTGGATTCTTGAAGTAATTTTTTTCAAGTCTAACATTCTCTCACATCACCTTTATGCTGCTTCTGTAGTCTTTGAGGGTGCACATCCCATGGTTATGTTGTTTTATTTTATTTTTTATTTATTTATTTTTTTAAAGATTTTATTTATTTGACAGACAGAGATCACAAGTAGGCAGAGAGACAGGCAGAGAGAGAGGAGGAAGCAGGCTCCCCACGGAGCAGAGAGCCCGATGTGGGGCTTGATCCCAGGACCCTGAGATCATGACCTGAGCCGAAGGCAGTGGCTTAACCCACTGAGCCACCCAGGCCCCCGGTTACGTTGTTTTAAATTCTACTTTATATGCACAGTGCTATGTTTACCAGTTTGGGGAATGTACTCATGAAGAAGATGATGCCCCAGGAGAGTTCCATTTCAGTAAACAAATAATTACATAAACCCCCAAATTATTGAGAACTGGGAGTGTTATGAATAAATGATTATAGGAGCAAAGAGAAGAACCACTCTGCTGTATTTGAGATTATCATGCTGTTTTTATTTTTTTACTCTTTCTTGGTAGTATTGCCTGTCCTTTGCAATAATATTTCGAAGGACCTGTATTATTTTTTTCCTGAAGTTGTCAGTGAAGGTGCTTCCTAATAAGATATTCAGTTCATGTCAGTCCTTCAGTTTAATTTGTTTTTATCTTGCTTGCAAAGGATACAAAAGTATTTTATATAGTGTGAGATTAAAATAATGAGAGGAGGTTTGCAGGCTGATACATCTTCAAAGTGCCAAGCAGTTAGCCTTTCATCTTTTCCAGGTCTAAAAATCTATCTTACTTTCTCTAGACAGTTGCTCTTCACTACTAGAAACCTGGATTTTCAAATTTTGCCCTGAAAACTATTTTAGCTAGATGGTGGGAAAAAATGTAGTCCTGGACATTAATTAGTTGTCCACAAACTGACTGCTATAAATAAGACTTGAATCTGAATATTACATTGATTATTCAAATTTCTTGTGGCTTTTTCATTGGCAGAAGAAAACGAATCTGATTAGTAATAAAAAAATAATGCAATATAGTAAAACTCCAGTAGGTTGAATTATCTTTACCTAAATTATGGAGTATAACTATATGAACCTTTCTATTTTTTAACAAAATAGACTGTAATTGAGATGGTTTTATTTTATTTTTTATTTTTTTTATTTTTTTGCTAGTGCTTTAATGAAGTTCTGCATGATTTTGTATGGAGAAGCCATTTTTTCATCAGAGTCTTACTAGTGTTATCTGAGTTTAATCTGGGGGTATACTTTATAGCCAGTAATGACAGGCCTAAAGTAGGCAGAAGTTACGTATTTGTTGGTGTTAATGACAGCATGAATAGAATAGTTTGGAAATCTTAGCATCAGTTATAACTATCACTACTAGAAATTAAGTAGCACTTGGATCTCATATCAAATAAGATTGTGTAAATGAAATCATTTTGAAGAGAACAAAGCATAGTAGTTGAGACTTCTGGGGCTTTCTGTTCAACTCATTGACTCTTTCCCTTCTAAGAACATGCTACTCCCTTCACCCCAGTCCATCCACCCCAGTCCATCCCTACCAAGGGGTAGGCTTGCTGATAATCATTTTTCTATTACATAACCCCTAAGCCTTGACTCATGCTTTTGACTTTTTTTAAAAAAATGTTTAAAGACTTTTATGTATTTATTTGAAAGAGAGGTAACAAATAGGCAAAGAGGCAGGCAGAGAAGCAGGCTCCCTGCTGAGAGAGGGGGAAGCAGTCTCCCTGCTGAGCAGAGAGCTCAATGTGGGCCTCATCCCAGGACCCTGAGGTCATGACCTGAGCTGAAGGTAGAGGCTTAACCCACCCCAAACCCATCTAAAACTATATATATCTTTTGGGAGCAAGAGGTAGTTTTATTACTCTCAGTTGGACGGTCTCACCTTCCATGTAGTTCCCTTATGATTTTAATTGCAATAATTTTTTTCTTTTTTAGTCAAATAGCTTCACATCTGTTTGGTTTTGTAAAGTTTTAGCTTTGGAAGATTATATTTCATATTCTAGAATTTATCTGTGAGCTCAGTTTAGAGCATTGAATTTCGTTTGCTTTTTTACAGAACTGGGAAATTATAGCGTTGATGACACAGGAACCACGTCTCACTGAAGATGAAATACATGAGTTTTCTCATCACTTTTTAGCAAATTAACTACAATTTTCCCCCAAAGCGGGCTTTTTTTGTTGCTGTTGTTTTTACTTGGTAAAGTTCAGTTTATGCTTTCTAGACTCTAGATTTTGTAGATGTTTGTTGCTGGGACTTTTGTCTTAATGAAGTCTGGCAGCACCTGTTGAGGTGAGACAACCAATTTTACTTTTGCTCTGGCACAGAGTCCAGCCATCTGCTTTAGGTCTGACTTTCAAACACAAAGGGAAAACACGAAGTATAGCCAACTTGGTGGTGACAGCTGGTGGGAAAAAAGAATCATTGTTCGACAGCATCCTTTGGTAACAGACTGGGAGGTGGGTCAAATACCTTATATTATCTCAAATATGGATGCCAGCAGGTTAGTTGGAATTTTAATTTCTGACTCACCCGCCTTATTTCCACTTGGAGGAAACTGCTTCCTGTCCCACATTGTCATATCCACATGTTCTTGGACAAGGGAACTGTATAGACCAACATCAAAGTAGATATTTCACTAAACAAAGTGCCTTGCATTTAATCAGTGCCTTGTGGGATGTACTATTTGTTTCAGTCTACGTGTTTTTATTTATTTATTTATTTATTTATTTATTTGACAGACAGAGATCACAAGTAGGCAGAGAGGCAGGCAGAGAGAGAGGGAAGCAGACCCCCTGCTGAGCAGAGAGCCCGGTAAATGTGGGGCTTGATCCTAAGGCCCTGGGATCATGACCTGAGCCGAAGGCAGAGGCTTTAACCCACTGAGCCACGCAGGTGCCCCAGTCTCTGTGTATTTTTAAACCAGAAATGATCACAGACAGAATTTGTATATTTTAGGGCAAATGGTCATCTTAGAGATATTACTTAAATACTTTAATTTTTTTCTCCATTAAAAAATTCCATACTAATTAGTAATATCTAAGGAAGGGGAAATTTAATTAGTCAATTAATTTTAAAATTTAAATTAAATTAATTAACATATAGTGTATTATTAGTTTCAGAGGTAGAGTTTAGTGATTCATTGTTTGCGTGTATCTCCAGGTGCTCATTATATCACATGCCCTCCTTAATGCCCATCATCCAGTTACCCCATCCCCCACCCACCTTCCCTCCAGCAACCCTCACTTTGTTTCCTATAGTTAAGAGTCTCTTGGGAAAATTTATATTAGATGATTAAATTTACATTTGAATAATTGGAATTTCATTTCAAATCATCTGGAGTAAATCATATTCTCTGTTGGTTTTTACAACTAATTATTTGTTTCAATTTTTTGGTTTTATTTTTTAGTAAGCAAATAAAGCTGTGGTAGATCCGTGAATATAGTTAATTACTGGAAGCTGCCTTATATCTAAAGAAACACCATATTGGGATTGGGGTGAGGTAAGAAGTAGGTATAGAGATAAGAGAGTGACATCAACCTTAA